TGTGTAATAAGTTATTTGTGACAATTGTAACAAATAAATTTGTAATAATTGTAACAAATAAATAAACATAAAAAGATCACTGACATAAAAAAAAAAAAAAAAAAAACCATCTGTGATGACTAATTTAACACCAGCTCAATTAAAGCAAGTCGAGGACGCAATTAAAAAACTTATTCATGCTGAAACTGCGAAATGGTTTGCCAAAATATCTGAACTAGAACAAGTAATAAAGCAACAACAATTAATAATAGATAAGCTAATCCAAAATCCAAATGAGCAAACTAATACCACAACCAGTAATATCGAATCCAGCTGGGTTACTGTTGCAAGCAAGAACATAAAAAAAAAGCAGCCTATTGAACAACTAACAATTATCAACACATTTGCCATTGAGCAACAGCAAAAAAAGAAGCGTGAAAAAAATGTTATTATTTATGGCATTAAAGAATCTGCGAAGTTATCAGTTGCTGATAAGCAGATCGACGATAAGGTTCAAAATATCTTAGTTACTATTTCATCTGATGCAAAACTAAAATTTGTCAAACGTTTTAAATCTACGTCCTCTAAACCAGGACCAATTATCGTAGAACTTTCTAATGTCTCCGAAAGAAACCCATTATTAACAGCAGCGAAAAAATTGAAAAATTCAGATAATTATAAAAATATTTTTATAAGCCCAGATTTGACTGAGGCTGAAAGATATTTAAACTATCAGTTAAAAATGAAGCGTAATGAATTAAATAGTAATATCAATTTAAAAACATCGCCTTTACATACGGTATACGAAGCAGCGGAGTCGTCAAACTCAAAAATATACAAACCACTACATAAACATTACTACCCCTCTTCTACTCTTATACCAGCAAACTTAAAATAAAAAAGTAAAAATCTTCATAACAAAAAAACAAACTATAACGTTATTTGCGTTAATTGTTATTATACTAATGCTACATCTCTCGATAATAAAATGGCCGATTTAATTTCAATATCTAGAACGTTTGATTATCACGTTATTGCTATCTCTGAAACATGGTTTCGAAATGACTCAGTACCAAATATCGATGGGTATAGCCTATATCGTAAAGATCGTCAAGACGGACGACGAGGTGGCGGTGTAGCTATCTACATTGCAGACGTATTTAACTCTCATGAAGTTAACCAATTTTTTACAAATCTACTCGAACAAGTCTGTTTATCTTTAAAATTTAACAACAAACATATACTTATCGGTTGTATATACAGACCAAATGATGCTAGTTTAATAAAATATGTCGCTGAATCCTTCAAACTAGCTCATAGTTTAATTAAAAAGCCCTACGATTACTGTTTGATTTTCGGTGACTTTAACCGACAATCAAACAGTCATTCCGAATATAAATTGGTCTAACTATGGTATTATATCTTTTAACCCAAACAATCCTACCGAGTATGATTTCTGGAATATCTTGCATAACAGCCCTTTTACACAACATATCACATTTCCTACTTTCCAGACTGATTATGGTTCCTCAAATAAAATGTTGGAATTAGTATTTACCTACAACAGTAATTCTGTTTTAAACTTGTCTCCTAGTACTATACTAGGTAATAACACTAAGGGTCATTTTAGTATCACTTGGAGATTCTTAGTTTCAGAACTGTTCACCGAAAGTGAATCTCAATCGTTTAATTACAAAAAAGGTGATTACGATTCAATATCTAACTTTATTGCATCAATCGACTGGGAGTTTTTATTTATGCATAAAACTGCAGATCAAATGTTCAATATACTAATTTCTAACTATCGCACTGCTTGCACATACTTTATTCCCAAGACTAATAAAACAAAAACAAAATAATAATCCTTGGGTTACCCCACATATTAAAAACCTGATCCGAGCAAAAAAATCCACTTGGCGTATAAACTGTTCTACGAAATGGGAGAATAGTGAGCTTAGAATAAATACAATCGACTTAATCGTTCAGTAAAAGCTGAAATATTTAAAGCAAAAAAAGCACATGAAAAAGAAATAATATCAAAATCCCAAAACAACCCAAAACTCGCTTACAAATATATCAACAAACAACTCAAAATTAAAGATCGAATTCGCTCTCTCAAAGATACTTCTGGCAGAATTATTGAAGCTCTTCCTGATATAGTTAATCTTCTAAGCTCTCAATTTGAATCTATGTTTACACTTGAAAGCTCTGAAAATTTTCTTTTGCTAAATAAAAGTGGTATTCATTCTGAATGCATTTATAATGAAAACTTGGATTTCTCTATCCCAGATATTATTCAGGAACTTGCCGATATAAACTCTTATTAATCCTTCGGATTTGACGGTCTGCATCCCTTAATACTCAAGATATGTGTTAAAAGCTTTGCAATTCCATTAACAAAAATCTTTCATGAATCCTTTAATTCTGGAGTAGTACCCAGTCAATGGAAATTAGCAAACATTAGTTCGATCTATAAAAAAAAGGGAGATAAATTACTTGCTGAAAACTATAGACCTATTTCACTAACATCTGTTGCCTGTAAAATCTTCGAAAAACTTGTAAAGAACAAAAATTTAAAGCACATTAACGGTAATAAAATGCTCTCTGCAAATCAACATGGCTTCCTTTATCATAAATCAAGCGTAACTAACCTAATAGAAACTTTTGATATCATTTCGTCCTCCATAGCATCCCACCAATTTATTGATGTAATCTATCTTGACTTTGCCAAAGCGTTTGATTCTGTACCTCACAACAGACTTTTGTTAAAATTAAGATCTTTCGGAATAAACGGCAAACTTCTACAATGGATTAAATCCTTTTTAGTGGGCAGAAAGCAACGCGTTACAATTAACAATACCAACTCTGCATGGATTGATGTTTTCAGTGGTGTTCCTCAAGGTTTTGTTCTCGGCCCGCTACTCTTCATTCTCTACACATATAATCTTTCAAAAGTCACTGAAACTTCTGAGATATTTGCCGATGATACTAAACTTTTTTCTAAAACCTTATTGCAATCTAATTTTGTTGATCTGCAGGATCGTCTACGCTTGATATACGAGTGGTCAAACACTTGGTTACTTAAGTTAAACACCTCAAAATGCTTCGTCATTCATTACGGTCGAAACAACCCCCATTACAATTACTTTCTGCAAAATAACCAAGGAATCAGCCAATGTCTAAGAAGCTCTACTAAATAACGTGATTTAGGAGTCATTTTTATATCTAACCTCAAGTGGAGCGCTCATATTCAAACAGTTGTCTCTAAGTCCTTACAAATTCTTGGTATGCTGAAAAAGACATTCATTTTCATTGATGAAAAAATGGCTCTCAAATTATATAAAGTTTTTATAAGACTACATCTTGAATATGGAGTGTCCATTTGGGCTCCTTATTTAAAAGCTGATATAGCTTTGGTTGAATCTGCTCAACGCAAAGCAACAAAATGGGCTTACAGCTTGAGGCATCTTCAATACTGCGAAAGGCTAAAAAGATTGAATCTACCATAACTTGAGTTTCGACGCCTTCGATGCGATTTAATCCAAATTTTTAAATTAATACATCGTTTTGATATTGTTAATGATAAATATACTCCAAAATATATTAACTCCATGTCTCGTGGTCACCATTCTAAAATAAGACTCGAGTATGTTCCAAACTGTCTTTCAAGATATAATCATTTGTATAATAGATCAGCAAAATACTGGAAAGAACTACCAGAGCAAATAACTTTGTACTCCACTGGACTTTCCTTCAAAAATAGACTAGACTCCTGGTTGTGGGAAAAGTTTGGAACAAATACTTATAAAACTGGTTGTTTATAGTGGGGTGTTTTCCCTGCTCGCTGTATGTGTACATTCTATGTAAATTTACGGCTACAACTATAATAATAATAACAATAATAATAAAATGTTTTAACAACTACGTGTAATAAAATTTCATTTTCATTATAACTTTTTTTTAATTTTATCCATTATTTTCATTTTAACGTTATTTATTTAAATATTGCCATTCAAGTTCATTTTTACCCAAAAAAAATAAAATAAAGTTTTATTTCAATGTTGCTTAAAAAAAAATACCGCATAATACAACCACTCCCCCAATTTTTTTTTTAATATTTTAAGTATGACGTACCCTATTGTACGTAACTCATTTGAGAATGCTTTGGTTCAAATTTTACCAGCCTTTATAATCTTTACACAAATTAGCATCTTTCCATTTTTGATTACAGATTTAGTTCAAAAATTTTCTTTTTACTAATCAGAGTTTTATGGGTTTTTCAACATTTGAAATAAATTAAAAACTTTTTTCATAAATTACTTTTTATAAACAAATATATAAAAGTTACCAGGTAGAAGATTCCTTTTTTTTTTAAATGTAATTTAAAAGTATGACTAAATGTCCTTAGTGTATATACCAATCAAAAAATGCTCTTTAGTATTACCAATCAAAAAATGCTTATCTATTGGACATTTCCGTATTTAGTGGAAAAAATCAAATCCAATATGTTAACTACCATTTCATTTGAGACTTGGAAAGTTAAATCGTATAAATGCTAAAATATCGGGTGGACTCGGAAAAATCCAATTAACTGCTATTTCTTCAAAACCACAAACTCTTTTTATTTAATTTTTGTTTTAATATAAATCTTATATATATACATACATATATATATATATATATATATATATATATATATATATATATATATATATATATATATATATATATATATATATATATATATATATATATACATATATATATATATATATATATATATATATATATATATATATATATATATATATATATATATATATATATATATATATATATATATATATATATATATATATATATATATATATAACAACTCAACAAAACATCATAAGTGTTGCAACAATGACACACACACACACAAACACACACACAAACAAGACTTTTATTGTCGCTGTAAAAAACAAGAAAAAGAAAAAAGGCAGAAAAAAATACAAAATATATTAATAAAAAATAAAAACCTTTTAAAAGTTTCACTGCAACGTTACTAGTAGAATCTGAATTAACATCAGGTAAAGTGGCCTTGGATTGTAGTGAATACATATTTTTAGCAAGAGTTTTTGCATTAACTTTAGCAACAAAAACTGTACCAAATGCTCCTTCTCCAAGTTTTCTATCTATCATGAAGTCTTCTGGGTAAATCTCCCATTCATCTGCTATTATTGCATTTGGTATATTGTTATTTCTAAAATTATTTAATGAGATTAAAAAACATTATTTAATACTTTATTATAAATATACAAGTTAAACAAAATGCTATAATATAAATTTATAAGAGCTCAGACTCTTGCTTCTAGAGCATCCATCTTAAAATCAACACCGATTTCAAAATCGTTTTTTTTAGTCCAGGGTGTTCTTGAGCCTCTTAACCAAAGGATCGTTGAGCGAAGTATCTCAAAAGATAACTTTGTTCTTAACTATGTCATAACAACTGAGTATTTTTCATTTTGTTTTTCCGCTAGTTTCTCCGCTAGCCTACCAACAAACCGATGACATTCTTTACCCATACCTCCATTTGTACGAAACACTTGTGGTGTCAAGCTGCCATGTTTGACTTCACGAACTCGTTCGCCATACTCTTTTTTTTTCCTTTTCGTGTTTTCTGAATATAGCAGCTATATCTAGATTTTTGTTGCTCATGGAATTGACATGCGCAACTCTTACGTCAAAAAATGCTTTCTGTCCATGTTTATGCACACTCTTTTAAGTAATGTGGTGAACAAATTTCTTATGTTATCATGACGACTTAAAATGAAACCACCTTTCTAACACGACAAGGCATGAGTTACATTGAAAGGTTCTCCGCATTCACAAATACGAGGGATATTTTTCAAATCAAAATTATAACGTAAGCAAAGAGCATCTCGAAATTCTTTTTTATTTAAAACAAAACCTTGGTTTTCTAGTGGTAAGACGTTTAACCAGGTGCTAGCACATTCGCTTCTTGTTTTCTTGTATGTTTCTTAACATTGAATCTGGTTGCATTGAATCAAGTGCAATTATTTTCTCTTTGCGATGCTTAAGTCTGTCAGTAGTTAATATTTTTTCAAGATCTTCTAGAACATTCCCGGAAGAGTTTTTTGTTTTTAATCTTGATCTATAATTTGCTGTACATGATTTTTAGTTAATTTTACAGATGATAAAAACTGGTGAGGCGCTTCTTCAACTAGTATAGGTATCCCTAATCCTCCATCTCGAGGAGTTAATGTAAAAAGTTTCCTAGTGTGATCCTCAAAGGGCGTATCTTTTCCAAAAAAAAATGACAACAACAAATGACTAAGTATTTCGTCTACGGGCGCTAGATATTGTTCAAATTTTGGAATAGTTCTTAGGAAATATGTAAATTATGAATGAAATCCTTTTGTAAACGCAATAAAAGCGGCCTGTGGTTGCGTCTCTGCTACTTTACAAAGTTGTTTTAACTCGGTTAACCATTTTGCTACTTTCTCAGTGCAATATTTGCTCATAAAATTTTGCAAACCTATTACTGAACCAAAATGTTGTTGACCCTCTGTAGTTATTTTGACCGATTTACCAAACACTACGCCTGCATTCTCTGCTAACGAGGGGGTTTTTATAATAAACCAGGATTTAGATTGGTTTACAAAGTAGCCATGTTTACATCCTTCATCAATAAGGTGTTGATACCAGCTATGTAAGTTTGCAATGCTTCCACTAGCTGCAGCATCGTCTGCTAACCACACCTGCTTAACTTGTGGGTAATTTACAAGTAAGTGTTCTATAATAATTGTGGTGTTACAAGAGTACCATGGCATAGCAAGGGGATCACCTTGAGTTGTGCTTTTTTGGGATGATATTTCTTTACCCCCTGCCACGAAGAGCCTCGATGGATTTCGATAAGTATTGATTAAGTAAATTGAAATTAATGGACAAATGATCTGGATGTTGTGTAAGGCGACTTGTCGATTCATACAATTAAAAGCGTTCTTTGCGTCATTCAAAAGTATTGCATCTGTTTGCACATTGTTGAATATTTCCTTCATGGCATGTACAGCCGCTTCGGCTCCTGCCCCATGTCTAGCACATGTTTGTAATGGCCCAGCTGTCTCTTTTATCTTACTGTTGAAACTCCAGCTAATTACTTTACCTATGATACGCCTTAATACTTCTCCTATTCCAATTGGCCTAATACCTGGATTTTTATCTAGAGGAATTAATAGACAAGCAGTGAAAGCTTCTAGAAATGTTGGTTCATATGTTTCTGTTAGTAAGTTTTGTGTCATTTTAGCAATTTCTTTTCGGAGTTTTTTACCTTCTTTGATAAAGTTTTTAAAAATAAGATGCGGCGATAAATATCGGCATCCATTCCTGATGGTCCAGCAGATCCTTTAGTTGCAAATGCTGCTTTCATAACTAGTTGCTCATTAATACAATCAAAGAAATATTTTGGGATTAAATCAATCAGACCAAACAGTAAGCTATAACCTTCTACTCGGGAGGGTTCAAGGTGTTTGCTTTTAAGGTCTTTTAATGTGTTGTCTGATAGTTGTAGTATGCCGGATGATCCCTATTTTTCTAAAAATTTTAGCGCTGCAGTGATTTTGCCTTCCATAACTAATTTGGCAAATATTTTAGGTATATCGTCCATAGATCTTTTATTTTTGGAATTTAGAGTTTTTTTTTTGTATATTTCGAACTTCTTTTAACAGTAAACTAGTATCTCCTTTTTTCCAAAGGTCAATCTTACGAGTTAAACATAATGTATGTTCTTTGGACTTTGATTTGGCGGAGGGTTTTTGCTAAAGAAGATTCGGCAAAATCATTGTAACTTTCAGCGCCATTGAATTTAAACTAGAAGTGGAATTAAACTTTCTTAACCAAAAGGTTAGCTCCTCTATAATTTCTTTATTTGCCTTTCCAGATGGAATGTTAAAAATACTTCTTCGGCAGTTTACGATCTCATCATAGGTAGAATCCACAAACAATTTAAATTGTTGATATGAGTATACTCCCCACATGACGTTGTTATTTGGAACTGTTAGATAGTTCATTATTTCAGGCAAGAAGGGAACATTTTTAAAATTATCATTAAATAAATGATTTGCCGTTTAAGAAGGAAGCTCAGGTAGTTTTCTGCGAACTATATGTGATGTTATACTTATATGTGTCATTTTCATAGAAGACAGTATGCTTACGGGTGTCGTTTTTCTAGAATACGTAGGTGTTAATGTGTAGTCCTTTTTTTGATTAAACGCTAAATTGTTAGACAAAGTGGATGTTATTATAATGTCCTTTTGTTTTGTAATTGAGGGTATTACTTTAGTATTTGGTTCAAGTGTTAAAAAGGTATTAGTTTTTTGTAGACTGAGTATTTGTAAAGGATTTGCATTTTAAAATGTGACGGCATCTTTTTGCATTTTAAAATGTGACGGTTTATTCCGCATATTGTTTTAAGTTCTACTTTACAATAAGGGCACGCATGAGGTATAGCAACTTTACAGCTGCTCATTGTACTTGTTAAGAAAAAGGTTTTTTTTTTTTATTATTAAGAAATATTTTGTTTAACTAGATGTTTTAGTGTTTACTGCGAATAAAGAAGATTAAATATTTTCATACTGAATAATATTTTGGATGAACAGCTACCTAATTTTTACGGTTGGTTGCACACTAGTTTACAGTTATATAATAAACAAATTCATAAGTTGAAAAAATAAAAATCTAGTAAAATTCTTCGTCTGTGAAACACTGAAATAAGATTTGATATAAGAACGAATTTCTTTCAGTTTAATAATATTAGAACGATTTTTGTTATGATAAAATTTAATGTTTTAGGGTAAAAAACTCAGATTAAAAAGCTCAGCTCTTCAATTTAACTGCAGTTGTTGCACGAATTTTCCAAAATTACAAACAGTATTATGCCATAAATAAACGAATTTTTTTTTTAAATTAACGAATTAAAAAAAATAAAATATTTGAATTTATAACCCTAGTGCAGATGGTATCAGATACAATATATTTAAAAGCTACCAACAATGTTCTGCTGTAAATAAGCGACTTTAATAAGACTTTTATTCCATCTAAACATTCCCATCCTTTTATTCCATTTCAAAACTCTCATTGAAAACTCATTACATTTCCAATAACTGATAAAATCCATAGTTCCATAAAAAAATCAAAAAAGAATGTATTATATTATATATTCTTTTTTTGATTTTGAACGTGCGGATAGAAATGGGTTTGCTAATAACGAAAAGAGATTAAAATCAGTTTTTGAAAAATTTTAATTTTATTTTATGACTATATATTTTTTTAAATATTTATCTAAAAGCAAATTTTAATCTATTACTTAATGTGTGGTCACTAAAGAAGTTAATTATTTAACTTCAATTACCTTATAATAGTTAAGTATAAAAAAACTATTTTAGTTAATTATAGTAAAATATAGTATAGGTGTCTTTTCCAATTTAGTGATAGAATATGACTTATTTTTAAAGTATAGCTTTAAAAATATTTATTAGTTAAATGATGGTTATTAAGTTTACAACTTTATTCAACTTTTACCGTTCTGATAAAGCTGTATGGCATTTGAAAAAATTATCAAAAAAGATGTTTTGGTTTTTCATTCTATACACGACACCTTTTTTGAAAAATACAAACATAGGTTTTTAGGATTAATTTGTCCAAATTAATTTAACATATTTAAATGCTTTTGCACAATAAGTATAAATTTTGCATATTCGTTAAACATTTATGCTAAGCATAAATATTTAAACATTGAATTAAAAAAAATGTTAACGCAACAGACAGGAATTTCTTAACAAAATTAAAGTCCTTTAAATACTTTTTACTAATTAGGGTTGCCAGATTTTGGGCCTTTACAACGGTGAATATAGTAAAAATCTTCATGTTGGTAGGTTTGGCAATATTTACTCCAGTGTTACAACTGGGTATCTGGCGACCCTAATTATAGTTGTCTTAATTATAAAACTGGTCTAAAAACCATATTCTCCTATAAGTCACAAGTAAAGTCACAGAAATAAAAAAACTAGCGAAGATTGCTTTTTATCCTCTTTGTTTAATTCACCATTGCTATCTTGAGTAATTTTTTTTCAATTGCGTTTAAGTAGTAGTTTCTATTGTTTGTAGATATTAAATTTGATTTTTCCGCAATCATAATTTAAAAATGTGAACAATATGTTGGATCATAACATTTCAAGAGAAGTC